TTCTCGCTTTGATTCAGTACAGACTGTAATGCCATCTCGTTGTTTTGGGGTTTTTTGATGTCCTACGGGAGAGTTACAATTCCGGGACTAGTATCCTTGTGCCTGTACCTGCAAAACAACGGAGACTCCTTGTGGTGGGAGCTCCGCCTCCGACGGTCAAGTTAGTACTTGTTTTGAGGAGTAATAAGTGCGGAAAAGTAAAGGTAGGAGATCTGGTCCCTCAAGGTGAGGAGTGATCAATGTGTTTTGGCTTCTCTAGGTGAGAGTAATTAATTGCTGAATTCCCTTTAATGAGGATTAATTAATGTATTTATAGCCTTGGGAAGCGTGCCTAATTCTAGGGTTTTTGGTAAACCCTAGATCTGACTGGGCTTCTCCTAGGAAGTGGGCTTAGGTGGCCTCCTTCCAAGCTGGCTATCAATAGGCCACATGGCATGGCTTGAATGGTCCATGGTGGACAAATGGCCACCTGCCACATGGCAGGCCCTGAGTGGTCCAAATGGAGGACACTTGGCAGGACCTGATTGGTCCACATGGCGTACACTGATTGGGCGGGGGAAAACACCCTAATCAACACCCAACTACTATTTCGAGCTAGTGGGATTATTTGAGTCATTAATGTTACCTACTCTTGTAGTTACAAAGCATGGAAATAAATGTTAAAACATAATCAGATGACATAAACATTCCCTTGACTAAAGATTCTTATTCTTGGATAATTTTAAGTCAATTAAGCATAAGAGAGCTAACTCAATTCATCTTTCGATCCTTGGTTGAGAAAGCTTAAATAAATAGTTCTAGCAATGACCACTCACAAGAACTAACAATGAAACTACTTAAGCTCAACTAATTAACATCCCACATTAGCTAAATCAACATATGCAAACAAGTATTTATTATGGATTCATCAATGGATTCAAGCAACCATCCCAAGTAAAAGAACTACTCACAAATCATAATAAATGGCAAAACTAAAGGAATTATTAACAACTAATAAGAAATTTTAATTGATAATGTTGTTATTCACATCTTCAAGTCTCTTTTCTTCATATTCCAATCTTTCAACAAGTTTTACTTTCTCTGTCTATAAAATGAGAGTTTCTCTATTTAAAAACCCTAAACTTAAACTACACTAAGATAAAAACCAAATAAGATGTGATCTGACAAAACAACTACTTTGAAATCTTAGATACTAAGTAAGAAAAATCTTTTCGCTTCTTTATTTTTAGAGTATATATTTCGAGAGCAAAAAAACTTTACTTGGATGGATAGAATGCAAACATCATTCAACACAAACAAATTTTAGTTTACACATCATATGCATTTGAGTGGTAGAAAATGGGGTGTTATTCTGAATTTTTAAAAGATTCAAAAATTGAGAATACTTAAACTACTCAAATGTTGTAACACCCAGTTTTAAACTGGTTTAGTTTCCCCTCGACGTGACATTGTTCTTATTAGTCTTAGTCTTTTCTTAAGAAGTGTAGAAATTTCGTAATATCATATACAAAGATAGATAAATAAGAAATAAGTGTATGACACAACTACAAACGTCGAACTTATATGACACAACAGCAAACATCAAACTCAAAATGTATGAACAACAACAAATATCAAACCTGAAGTGTATGAAACAACAACAAACATCAACTGGCTTAGGATGGTCTTTTTCTAAAACGTATTTTGATATGTTGAATGCATATAAGTCTAGTTCTGACTAGAGGTGAGCAAAGTTAGCCCGGCCCGATTTTGGGCAGAATTTTTTGGCCCGAAATCGGGTTGGGCCCGGCTCAAATTCTTGGGTTTGAGAATGCGTTTTTATGCTAGTTTTTTAAGCCCGGCCCAAAAATGACCTGAAAAGCCCGCACGACTCGACCATTTTGGATGGGTTTAGGCACAAAAATTCCAGCCCGAAGCTTGGCTCGATCCGACCCAAGAAGTAGGCATAATTTTTTTAGCTTCGACCTGGCCCGGTCTGGTCTGCCCAATGATCACCTCTAGTTCTGACGTACATATTCTTCGACTTTTTCTAGTTGGTTGACCCAATCTGGTTTTGGTTGTTCGATTTATGATTGTTTGACTTTCTTCGTTTTCGATTTATAATTGTTTGACTTTCTTTTTTAAATCATCACCTGAACTGCTTAAATACAGGACTACACATTCATATATGATTTAATAATAATATATGAAACTAGCTATCATACCTAAAAAGAGAAATCTCTTTATTATCATTATATGCTAAATCTAATCTAATATATCATATCATATATCCCTAATAAATAAAGCCGGTATCGCAGTCAGGCCACAAAACAAGCAACACTTGGTATTTTAATTTTACGCCAAGTGTCACGCCACATAAGCGACAAATAGATATTATTGTGACACGTATGATGCTAAATAAGCGATTTTTAAATAGATTTTTTAAGATAAAAATGTTGTATATAGTTTTATTATCACTATACTTCTAATATTTCATATATACAAAATTAATCATAACTTTTAATAAATATCCTATAACTCGATTTTATTTCCATCATAAAATTCATTTCAAAAAGTTCTTTAAAATAAGATCCATTTATAATATATTGAATTTAGTATAAAAATAATAGAGAATCAACAAAAATAAGTTTTAACCAGTAAAAATAATTTTGGTTTGGTAAAAGTACTTTCAGTTCAATAAAAATAATTTAAGTTCAATAACAATAATTTCAAGTCTATAATAACATAGATATCTATATACAAACAAAATTACAAAAAGTATACTAATTTATAAATAAGCGATAGGATGTCGTATGTCTAAATATCCTGCATTATCAAAGGGGATTACATTACCGTATTAATAAATATTCAAGCAAAAAAATTTATCCTAAAATTTTATCAACAATCCGGGCTAGCGCCACATAGGATTTTAATTTTTAAGAAGTTATTAGAGTACCATGTAGGATTAATATTTTTAAAACGCTACAATACAATTATGCCACGTAAGATTAGTTTTTTTAAAGTGCTACATAGGATTATAATAAAAAAATCGCCATGTATAATTAAATTTTGTAAAACACTACAATAGGATTGTGCCACGTAAGATTAGTTTTTTATAAAGTGCTACGTAGGATTACAATAAAAATAAAAAATTATCAGAGCGACACATAAGATTATTATTAAAAAAAAATTTATCATGAATAAAACTAAATGATTTGTTTGGATGATTAATGGAACCAATATTATGATAAATTTTTACAAAAATTACATAAAGGAAGGTTTTTCAAGATATTTTAGAGCGTCACATAAAAAAATGTTATATTAAGCCAATGAAAAAAAGAATTGCAATTTATTTTCGATCTGAAATTTTATATTAATTATAAAAATAAAATAAGCGTGTTTTCTGTGTGGCTTACCATATCGTGTGGCCGGCTGAGACACACCAAAACGCCGACCGGGTAACCCCTGTCCGTCCGAGTAACCCCTGATCGATCGAGTAACCCTTGACCAACCGAGAGATTGTTATATACATTCAGGTATATCGTACACCCGTGAGTATTTTGTTTTCATTTTGATGATTGTTTTTCATTTAATCATTAAATTAAGAGCAAAAACTAACCTTAGGTTAGTTGGGTGCATTGTTGTCAAAATCACGATCCGGATCGTAGGATCGTGCGATCTTACGATCCTAAATTAGCCAAACGATTCAGATCGAATGCAGAATCGCAGAGCAAGCAGGATCGTTGTAGGATCGGTCAGGATCGAGTAGGATCGTACAGAATCGGGTGGGATCGGACGATCCTGTTTTTCACTTTAATTATTGTTGGATTGTACAGGATCGGACAGAATCGTGTGGGATCGGTCAGAATCAGGTAGGATCGGTCATGATCGTACGATCCTACTTTTTACTTTTTCAAATGAGCCTAAAGCAATCAAACTTTTCTCTAAGCTAAGAAAATTACTATCTAACTACTAAAACTATAAATTTTAGCAATTTTATGGCTTAAAAAATGTATCTAGTTATGTAGAAACCTTTCTATTACTCCTTTTTTCAATTTTGTAGGATATTACGATTTTACGATCCGATTTTACCGATTCGATCCTACTCTTCTTACCGATCCAAAGTAGGATCCCGATCCTGACAACCTTGGTTGTGTGTACAGTGCACCCAGGTGTATATAACAAACTCTATGATCAACTGAGTAACCCCTGACCAAGTAATCCCGACCATACGGTATGACCAGCCACATATGAAACTTTGTGAAATAAAATATTATCATTTTATATTAGGAATTTTATCTAAATATAAGAAACAAAATTAATATATAATAAAAAAATTCAAGTAGTATTAAGCGAATTCACAAAGTTTATCAGATAAATATGTATTTAACAAAATATTTTATTTTAAAAAATACAAACAAACCATATATCGTATGGGATTCATCTAGTAAGTTATCATGAATTTATTTATTTATTTCTTTTAATAATCACTCTCACGTTCTTTAGCAAATGTTATAACTCTAACTTCTAAATATTGAATTTCAAGATTTTATAGCTCAAATTATATTACAATAAAATAGTAAGCCTTAATGTATGACATAATTTATAAACCTTCTTGAATTGAGAGGTGTCATAAACTCTAAACTCAAATCAAGTAACAAATTACATGAAATTGTTTACAAAATAACAAATTAAATGAGTCAATTCTTATAATAATCATGCGCAACCTTAGAGTGGAGCGAATTGGATGATTATTGAAGAAAGAAATATGAACTTAATATAAAGTGAAACGAGGAAATAATATATGAACTTTTTATTGAAGAAAGAAATATGAACTTAATATAAAGTGAAATTTGGTGAAGAGAACAATACCTTAATATATACTCCACAATAAATTGAATCATTTTGAATTTAAGTTACACTAAATTATTATGGACGTATACGTGAGAGTTAATTGTTTCTAATCGGATTAGCTTTTGACCCATCTTAATTTTTTTCGTATTCATATCCATTAATTAATGGTCTTTGGCCTTTGGGTATAGAAAAAAACACAGAAGCTACCACATGGTTATCTTCGGCACCATACAAACTATAAACACACAAACTTCTATCTGCCTTCATCTTCACTCTTCCTTTTCTCTCTCCTCCCCGCTCACTTTACACTGAAGAACCACAATTTTAATGGAAATTTGACAATCATCGCTTTCTCCTGTTTCTGGGTTTTCTGGAGTTTCGACTGAATGACCTCCCCATGCCTTTATTAGGTTCACTCTCTCTTTCTCAATTTATTCATTTATTTTTGTAATTTCTTGTTTTCTTTGGTGTTCCTGTTGATAATTTTACAATACAGTTTCAGAATTTTATGACCCATTGAATTTAAATTAGTATGCTTTTGAGTAATTGATATAACATATCTTAGAAGTACTAATAGTAAAATGGGCAAATGGGTATTTCAGGGAATGTTTAGTGAATTAGTATATTTATTAATGGTCGAATTATTGGACTTCCTTTTATATCAATTATTGGGCAAATGGATATAACATTCCTTTTTTTATATTAATTTTTTTTGTTGAAGATTTAAATTTCCAGTTTTGAGTTAAAGGGTAGAAATAAGTTGATGCTCTGGAATTATTTACCTATAAATGAATTGCCAGCATATATATTAGGGTTGTTGGAAGTTGCAAAAGGTTGCTTTTCCACCTTTGTAGTTCTAATTTTTTGTGATTTTCTTGAAGTAAAATACACTTGGGGTTCTGAATTCATGAAATTGTAGCTACTTCAATTTCTTGCTTAATTATACCTTTTCTTTTCTTTTCTTTGTTTCCATTTTTTATTTAATTTCTTGCTTGTTTTTGGCTTCTCAAAGTAGGAATTACTCAAAATTAATTAAGGACTTAAAAGGTCTAACCAATTCAGGATTATAGTTGTTATATGCAGTATCACTTGAATATCCAACGTGGTAAAATTCTTGGAGAAAATTGTGTCTAGATTAGGATTGAAGTAAAAACAAAGTAATTGTGTTGTAGATAATTCAGTGAGAGCTGAGCTTGGCCGTTTTTATTGGAGGAATACAACTAAACAGAATGTTACAAGACATTAAAATGCACGAAATATCATTTATTGACAATACTTCTACTCCCTTTGTCCCATTATAATAATAAAATGTACTTGTTTAGATGTCTAGAAAAGAAAGATATCTTATTCTTAGATTGCCAGTCATACCCCCACTTGAATGGAGTTGTGAAGATGGGATGAATAGATGACAACCATTTAGTGAAGCATGGTTTATTTATAAAATTATAACTATGGAGGATTTTGAGACAATGTGACGATTGCAGAATGAAGAACTATTTAGTTACTTATAGAGTTGAAGTTGGAATTTGTTAACTATAGATTAGTTTTCATAGGCCTTTTGTTTGAACTGCCTTTGCGCTATTCCCTAGTATATTTATCTTCCAAAATTAAACATATTTTCACCAAGAAGCTTAGAGTTGCTTCTCACTTGAGTTCTGATGTGATGGTTTCCGTATTGTTGATATTTTGTCTTAGTTTGGTCTTTAAATCAATTCAGCACTGATCATGTCTTTATCATGATATATTATGGCAGATATAGCTATTGCACAGTCTTCCTTCCAAAACTATTTGGGTTGTTCAGGAGTGCGGTCGTTTATCATTGGTAAAATACCCAGCTATTGCCTGTTACAATATGAGGACAGATGGGCATTTCGAAAGTCCTTACAGAGTACAGAAAGCTTGAAATTTAATTTAAGTCATTTTAATAAGAAGTCATGTCGTAAGTTCTTGGTTAAAGCTGTTGCTACTCTTGAGCCAAAGTGTTCAATTCAAAGTAAAGATGAAGAGAAGCATAGCCAAATTTTGCCATTTACTAGTAAACCACATGAAGAAGAAGAAGTTGATGAGAGAGAAAAGTTAAGACGCATACGGATTTCTAAAGCAAATAAAGGAAACACACCATGGAACAAAGGCAGAAAGCACAGTCCTGGTAAATTACTTGTACACTATCAGCCTTCTGGCTTTTGTAATTTGGAGATCAAATGCTGATCACTTTGATGATGTACAGAAACTCTTCAACGTATAAGGGAGAGGACCAGACTTGCTATGCAGAACCCTAAGGTGAAGTCATGTAAGAATTATATTGATTATACATTTATTTAGGGTGAAGCTAGGAATAGAATGGAGCCTCATTTGAGTTCAATCTTGATTGATAAGAATCCTATATCAGACAATCTGTCTCAGACAATGTAATTTGTTGTGTCTCATTGTTGTACTTTGTAACTCCATCTTTTTGTTGAGTAGAAGTTTGTCTTGGTATTGATTGATTATCTATGGTGTTAAATGGCATCGTAGTCCTTGTATAATTCGTTCGTTTACAAATATAAATTAAGTGACTGCCAATTCTCTGTTTTTCTTCCCTTGCTTGGCTTGGCTGCTTGCTATAGTAATCTCCATTTTCTCCACTTTGTAAAATATAGTTAGGTTTTTGATATCCTGCCACACAAGAATAGTCAAATAAACTTAATCATTTCCATTTCCGTTTGTTTTTGTTAACTTTTGATGTTTAGCAACCTTTTTATATGCTGTCATCCTTCTCCTTAGCAGCTTAGCCCCCTCCCTTGTTAATGAATTCCATTAAGAGCGTCTCCACCTATGATAGTTCATCATTCTCCTTATCTCCTTAGTTTAACTCTCATGTAGGAAATCAACTTACTTGAATACTATGAGATTCATTCTGATGAGATTTTTTGTTCAGGTAAAAATGAAGTTGGCAAATATTGGTCATGCTCAAAGGTGGGTCTGGAACTAGTATTGTTCTTCTTTTTGTCATTTTTTTTTCCCAGTTTCCTCTGTAATGTGAATGCACTTATTGCAGTCCAGAGACAAGGGAAAAAATTGGGGTTGGAGTGCGAATGGGCTGGCAAAAGCGCCGTGCTAAGCTGCTGCTTCAAGAAACTTGCCTTTTTGATTGGCAGAACTTGATTGCTGAAGCTGCTAGACATGGTTTGCTGGATCAGGAGGAGTTGCAGTGGGATTCCTACAAGATCATGAATGAGCAATTGCAGCAGGAATGGTTGGATAGCATTCAGCAAAGGAAGAAAGCACCTAGACCCAAGGGTAGCAGGAGAGCACCCAAATCTCTCGATCAGCGGAGAAAAATTGCTGAGGCCATTGCTGCTTTATGGGCTGATCCTGTAAGATTTAATCCTAATACATAAAGCTATAAAATCACTTTTTTACTCAATTTTTTCAAACAAAAATATGTGGCTCTTTTATTGTCATGTTTACAAGTATGGAATGTAGTTCTTGTTTAAATTATGTAGTTTTTGTATAACCGTTGCTTCCTTGTCCTGAAGTTCTGAGTTATGGGGGCCCGTTGGGTCTTAGGTGAAGTGAATGAGTGTTGAGTAATATAGCTTTCTAGAAGATTGAAGCAATAAGTTGCTGGTAAAATAAGTTTTAGTCAAGGTTGTTGGTCCTGTTTAGTGGCAAAGATTGAATCAGCATTTGTTTATGAGGCTCTCTAAGGTCCCTTGACTATTAAAATTGGTTATTGGTTATTGATTTATATGCCACTAGTTCTTGTATACATAGTCTGAGCATATTTTTGTGATCCTTTATATTTGCTTTGTTTCGGATTATTGTTCATGTCCAAGTAGGAAGGCAGAATCAGTGGATGGGTTGACGACTGCATCGTAGATTCATTGATGGAGGGATTGCAATGCGGAGGATGAAAATGGGAGTGGGGATCAGGGGCTTTGTATATGGGAGAGTTATATGATTTCATTTTTTTTTTCCCTGTCCTTTTAAGGGTGTGTTTGGTTTGATGTAAAATGTTTTACTTTGATTCTCCCATTTTTCCCCCGTTTTACTTTGTTTGGTTTGTGAAGGGGTGGAAAACAATTTTCCCAAATGTGAACATTTCACTCTCAATGATGGAAAACATTTTCCCTTACAAAACAAAGGAAGTTACATTTTTGATAATTGATCTATTCCACGGCTCCACGCTATATATGCATTCTCCTAGAAAAATATCTTTTTACATTGTAGAGGTATTTTGAACCTTTATCTCAGGTGCTGTAATCATATCATTCCATCACCCTCGGTGCTACTTATGAGACTCTAGCCTTGGCCCTTGGGTAGTGTACAGTTAATCAGATGTATGCAGCTTTACTCATGCAGTTGGGAAAAGGGATCTATTAGCTTGTTTGTGTTGGATTTGTGTTGTTGAATAGATGGGGTTGTTGCCAAATTAGTAGATATTTTCTGAAAAACCCTCAGATGGTTACCAGACTTTTACTGTTTTTTTTTTTTTTATTATTTTTTTTTTTTTCCAATTACTATAACTTCAATCACTAAGTAGGTGCATTGAGATTACCAAAAGGCAAAAGTTTTCCAAATAACAAGACTGGTGTGATCTACATGTAACCTAAGAGCTTATTAATGTCCAGGCTCAAGCTCTTAATTTTTATCAACGTTCAATATCTGATTGTGGCCTCGGTAACCTGATCATTAATTTCCAATGAGACCAAGTTGTGTGGTAGTGATGATCACTTGTTGAGTTATTTCCTTTCTGTTTTGCCTGCATTCTTTAATCCTTGGCTAATAATTTTTTTTAATTTTTTAATTTTTTTTATTACCTTCTTTAAAGGAATATCGTTCAAGGGTGACTTCAGGCTTGGCTAAATATCATAATATACCAGAGGGGGCAGAGAGAAAGGTAAGGAGAAAATCAAGTGATGAATCACAGTCCCCGAGAACTCCTAAGAAAAAGCTCAGCGGTGCAGAAAGCTCTGCCACAGCAGAATCAAAGGTAAAGATTCAAAAGCCCAAGTTGAAGAAGAGGGCTGCTCCAAAGTACAAAGACCCTTTAGCGAATTCCAAGCTGGAAATGTTGAAGAACATCAGGGCACAGAGGATGGCATCTGAGGCAAAGAAAAACGAAGCCTTAGAACAAGCAAAGTGAGTCTTGCACCTTTTAAGTTTGCATGTCCCTTGTTGGTAAATGTGTGTATTACCCCTGTGTTCTTATATTTAATGAGTTATATTGTTAAAACAGGCTCCTAGTAGCAGAAGCAGAGAAAGCTGCAAAGTCCCTTGAGATTGCTGCAACGAGAAGCCCTGTTGCTCGAGCTTCCCTTATTGAGGCAAGAAAGCTTATTGCTGAAGCTACCCGATCTATTGAATCAATAGAGAAACAAGAGCCTAAATCTGAAGATGATCCAAGTTCGGGGACACAGAATAATGTTGAGAAGGATGAAAACCCTTTCACAGAAGACGATGATCAAGGACACCATGGAGGAGTAAATGGCACCGACACTGGGTTTATGCAAAATATTGATGGTCAAAATCCAGATATTGGTGTCTATAAGATGCCTATACTGGAAGAAATGGACACGAATCACCAATTTCCTAGACAACTCGGTGGGTATGGATTTTCTGAGCTCGATATAGGGAGTTTTATAGGGAAATCAGAGTTAAGGGAGCTCATTGATCAACAGCATGGGCATGAACTAAATGGTGCTACCAAATTGAATGGGAGCTCTTCGCATCACCATGGAGCGAAGTTGCAAAATCATGAAGATCAGGTACCTCCTGTTCCTGAAAAAACAGTGACAAAAAAGTGGGTTTGTGGAAGACTGGTAGATTTTGTGGAAGGTGAGTGAAACACGGTTTTTTTTTTGTAAAGGTATCCTGAAGACTAGTCATTCTTAAAAGCTTCAGTTCGAGAGCTAGCAGATGGTGCAGTACTGAAAACATCTCTTCTGGTCTGTTCGTTTCAGAAGCTGCTGTGAAAGCTTTCAGATTCCACTTAGCAGCAGATTTTGTTTGTATTTCAGAAGTCTACTTTTAGAAAATTTTCATCGATCATTATTAATACTTCAGTAGTTTTAAGTACTTTGTTAGCTGCAGGATTATGTTTGTATATGTTGTATTGGACGTAATAGTTAGGTTCAAGATAAATAATCTTTGGTAGGCATCATTTGATTGCTCAGTTGCACTAATGGTTTTCCCAATGAAACTTTGGAACCACTCTTTAAGTCTTATTAATTAGGTAGGATAGAATAAACAACTTTTAAATGTTTTAATCAAAAAAATAGGATGCCTAAAGACTAAAGTAGTGAAAAAGAGTTCCAGGTTATTTTATGTCTCGGGTTGCCCTCCTATATACAGTACTATGGACTCGAAAAATCATTTATTTTTGGCAATTAATTCGATTATAATAAGATGATGTGAAAAAGTCAAGAACCATATAATAAAGAAACCTTATTTGTCCCAAGATTATTGCCGTATTTGACTTTTAATCTTATAAACTTTGTAATTTCTTTGTTTATTTTTTACTTGACCTGTTTCTTTTATCACGCTTGCCAAAGTAAAATTTTGACGATTAATAACTTTAGTTCTCCAAAAGTAAAAAATGTAAAATTATATATTATGATAGCACTTATTGAAACGAATTTAAAAAAGATCTCACATGAATATATTTTTCCTTACATATTATTCACAAAAGATGGTCAAAAAAGGGGCGGTAAATAGTGTAAAAGTCAAAGCGGGTCAAGTAAAAAAGAACGGAGGAAATATGTAGTTTATAACTAATATGAAGTGCAAGTATGTAAGGAACCTTAATGTAAGAATGATTCATTGTTAAAGGATCAATTTCTATTACGAGCAACTTAGGAGTGGAGATTATTTTACCCTTTTCTTATTCGTTTTCAGAATGTCTTGTCTGTGAACTCAAATTAGGTTGATTAATGGGAGATTTTGGTCTAGTTCCCAAAGAGTCTTGCATGTGAATTCGGATTAGATTAACATGTGGATGATTTTGGTCTAATAGAGCACATTTTGTTTAAAAAATTAATATTATTACACCAAGTAGTACTTAATTTAGTGGATTAAAATTATGTTAAATCCCAAAAGGTGGTTTACTTGTCTACGCCAATTTGCCTCCAACTAGGGATGGCAATAGGTCGGATTCGGATCGGATTATGCAAAATCAGACTCCGACCCTACAAGATGTCGGATTTTTAATCTGCCTCCGCCTCCGACTCTGAGAATCCGACTCCGATCCAACCTAAATTTCCAACCTCCGACTCCAACCCGATCTGACTCCGACTTTAAATTTAATTTTGACCCAATTAGCAATAGCAACCCATATATAATCAACTTCAAAGACCTATGAATACATGAATTGAATAATAAAATATATATATAAGTACATAGAAAAGTCGAAGTCGGATCAGATAAGTCGGATTCTAAGTAGACTCCAACTCTGACCCTCTTCCGACTCGAAGTCGGATTTTTTAAACGAAGTTGGATTCAGATTATTATTTGTCGGATTCGGTTCGGATTTTTTTTCTTCGGATCAAATCGGACCAGGGGCGAATTCGGACTAGATTGCCACCCCACCTCCAACAGTATCGGACCGTTCTTAATTTTGGACGGACTATGCCGGATGCCTAATGTTTTTAGTTGGAGCCAGTAAAAATACATGTAGACACCTCGAGCACTCTGCAATTGACAATTATATGCGCAATATATTGATCGATCTCACGAGACAAAAGAAAAAAAATACGGAGTATTTGTCAAAGTCTTGTGCTCCTTTCATCTTTGATTAGGTTTTGACATGCATGCTTCGTCAGCCAAGTGTTACTAGACTTACTACAGTTACACTGTGTTTGGATAAAGAAAGAGGAAGGAAAAGAAGGGGAGGGAGGATAAGAGGAGGGGAGGGAAGAATGGCGAGTTTTCCTTTCAAATCTCTCCATTGTTGGAGGGATCATTTTCCTACAATTTAATCCCTCCATTTCTCTCCCCTCCAATTCCCTTGTTTCCTCATTTGTTATCCAAATGAAAAAAAAAAAACATCTCTCCATTTTCCTTCCCTCCTGTCCCTCCATTTCCTTCAATCCAAACAAACCGTTAGTTTTTTTTACCATGTTCCTGCATGCTCTACTTATAAACCATTTTTCTTGGCAACACGATATCTCCATTATGTAGGAGAGTCCTATAGTTTTAAGATAAGTTCATGACTTCATGATCATTGATGTACTCGATTTGACACAAATAACATTAGGATAACATACTTTGTGTGTTACTTTGTATGTAGTGCTTCTTTCATTGACTTTTAGCTGTAATCAATGACAGAGCCAGAAATTTCAAATTAGGAGGACAAATGAACACCGCATAGTTTGACAAAAAATATTCGAAAAAAAACCAATACTTGAACACATAATTAGTTAAATTGATATACATAATATGATCAGCCTGAAATATTATTTATCTATTATTCAACTGATTTTTTTATCTTTTAAGTGGGGGAACAGCTGTCCCCCTTGTCCCGAACTAGCTCCACCCCTGATTGTAACATTTTGACTCAAAAAATCTGACAATTTTAATTAGACTGTTGCAATCAAAAGTGGTGAGCACATGAAGTATACACTTCTTAATTCTTAATATATATATATAAGAACCCATTATATATAAGAACATTATATTGTATTAGATTTAATTGTATATTTAGCTTTTGTGGGCTGCACATATGCGTGGGCTTTACCTTCAGTTAGGTTGTATATATATACATGTTTTACTGGAATGTAAATCAAGGAAACACATATTCATCAAATTAAAACTTGTCAAATTATTAGCTATTTATTGGTGTTCTATAATTCTTGCGATTACAATTGCGATTTTGATTGCTATTTGATCAAGTTTAATAATATAACCTTACTATGAGTTTGGAATGGAAACAAGAGATGCATGATAGTCTGAAGTATATTTAGAGCTTGTTTGGGTCCAATTTAGTCAAAATTGGGCCTGAGCACTAAATGATCCAATTAAAAGCCCAAGGTCAAGGTTCAACTCTCCAATTGCTCAAAAGTCAAAAGTCAGCCCACAAAGTAAGCCAATTGGGCTAAAGCCCAACCTCTCCAAATATGATGAGGTATAAAAGCCCTCATATTAACACATTCAAGGAGAGAGTCATATTCTTACATAAGACATCTCATAACATCGCATACGAGATCAGACACATTGTCACTTGCATTATCTCATACACCGATTATTGCAATTCATATGCTCATTCTTGCATTGAGAAATACTCCACAAAAGCCTCAAGCTACAAACTCTCTTGCATAGTGTCTTCCTTTTTACACATTGTACTGACTTTAGCATCGGAGGGGCCTTCCTCGGAAACACCCCCGAGGCTAGTTTACGTGTGTTAACTGTGCAGGAAACCTTCGGCCCAACACAGCTTGGATCGAATCCAGTCTTCTCCATTTTAGTGGACCTTCGGCAAGGTCCCATTGTTTTCAACCGAAACAATTTGGCGCCGTCTGTGGGGAAGACTTTCAAAAATCTTTAAGCCAAATTCCTAACCAAGATCATCTTGCAATTGTCTTAGCAGCCATGGCTAAGAACCGCAAGAGCAAAAGCCTCCGTCAAGGAGCGGGCGAAAAGCCTAAAACCCCTACACCATCGCCCTCGCCGGACCGGAACTCTCCCAAGGGTGCCGGCTCGGGGGGAGGATCACACAAGGAGGATTCCCTATCTCCTATAATGCATGACTCTCAATATAGGCCGGACCACTCTCGGTCTAGCAGGGGTCAGTCTGATCATAGGACATATTCAGTGTCCCGAAGCCAACCATCGGCTGCACGGCCTCATGCCCACACTCGGCCGGAGACCCCTTTGACGGGGCCCAGTTCGGAAGAGGTGGCAAGAGCGCTGGCAGTACTCATGGAGGCAATGAGGGCACAGAATATGCCACCGCCTCGTGATCGAACTCCTCCGCATACCCGGCATCAGCGGAGGAAGTTAGACCATGACGGTGGGAAGCTTCCTTCCTTCCGGGAACTGGAAGAGTGGGAGGAGGATTCTTGGAAAAATGAAAAACAGAGGAAGAAGAACTCTCAATTATTTAAAGGATCCTCATCCTCAAGACCAGCAGCGCATAAGAGCAGCAGCTCAGCTTCTCGGCCAGAATCTACTCGCCGGGAACCTGAGACTGCTCGCAGAAGCGTCCTTGACCGACTCGGCGGCCAGGAACCGAGCGTGCGTAGTCGCCTCACGTTCCCTGCAGCCGAGGCCCAGACTTCCCAGCCAGGGACGAAAACCACTCCTACCTCTCTGAGAGGGCGGAGCGCGGTCCCTTCGGCCAGGAACAAGGGCAAGGCCATTATGCTTCCCGCTAGTTCACCATTCGAGCAATGGATACTAGAAGAGCGCGTACCCACGGTTAAAATACCGTCGCATATCACATATGACGGGACCACGGATCCGAAGGACCACGTGGCCTCGTATGAGGCTCATATGCATCTTTGCCCCAGATCCGAGGCAACTTGGTGCAAATATTTCCCAACCACTCTCAAGGGGGTCGCGCAAGCGTGGATCTCCAAGGGAGTAAGGCAAGGCTCCATAACAGGTTGGGATGATCTGTCCTCCAAGTTCAGGAGCAAGTTTTCCACGGCAAACCGCCGAGAAAAGACTACCGCAGAGCTCATGGGTCTGCAACAGGGGGAAACCGAAAGCCTCCGAGACTACCTGACCCGTTTCAGTAACGAGTCATCAAGCGTCTCTCAGCTGGACCAGGGGCTAGCTGTTTTTGCAATGCAGAATGGCCTTCAGCCAGGAAAATTCCTAGACTTCATGGTCATGCAAACCCCGCAGACCTTGGAGGAAGCTCTTAGTGCTTCGGATAAGTTCATCCGAGCCGAAGAATGGAATAAAGCAAAAACCCAACCTCAATCCGGGGGAGGGAAACAGAGGCAAATACCCTTGTCTGAAGGCCGAGGCCATAAGGCAAAGGGAAAATCAAAGGCCTCGGAACCATCTTCGGCCAGCGACCTAAAGAAGGACAGGTTTGCCTCATACACAGGCAGATACGAGTCCTACACTCCGCTCTCTCTTCCACGCGCCAAAATTTACAGTGTGACGAAGGAGGAGCAGAGTTACCGAAAGCCGAAACCACTCCCAGAGTGGTATCAGCAAAAAAATAAAAATCAGTGGTGTGAGTTCCA